AGGTGCTGAGAGGTATTAGGAACCCCTATTGCTCTCTCAGAGCTACAATTCCCAGAATTCCCTGGGAAGAAACAAAAGAAAACCCATATGCAATGGGTTCCTTCTTTTCAACTCCATCCATCCCTAAAAAGGATCCTCCCACCCTCATATTTAGGCAGAGCTTGAAAGCTACTGTTCAAAAATTAATTTTGAATATCTGAATATTAATTTTGAGTATTTCCAAAATCAAATTAATTTCAATAATAATGAATAAATTAATAATTACAGCCTGCCGTTACAAATGGCTAATGAAAAATACCTGTTGTTTGCTTGACTGGACATTTAGTAGTGCCAGAAGCCTTTTAAGGTCTGAGTAATCCCTAGGAGAAAACATAAATTATATGCTTATTAACAACACATTACACGACCTTATTTCATCAGTAAGTAATCTAAATGAAATAATATTGAAGTTTATATTTCTATGGCATTGTATCAAGCATTCCACAATATTGCCTCAGCGGTCTGCTCTACACACCCACAATTTGTGTAGTCTTCTTAACCACCAATTGTTTCTGCCAAAGTGAAAAGGTAACAGAGTAACAGTCACCATGTACACAGAGCGATTCAGATTAAACTATTCTGTCTGGCAGCTGGTGCAGATTCCAGAGAGTCACTGCTGACATTTAGCGAAAAGCACAGTACCCTTGAAGTTTGGTATCAGTTGCCTTGTCTGTGGTCTTCACTTTCTTGTGTTGATCAGGCATTGTATAACATCAAGGCATCAGGATTAACACATCATGCCTCTGAAGAGAAAACAAATGTAAAAATGTTGTTTTTTCACTTGACAAGTGAAGGACAATACCAGTAGATGACCTGGAGAAAGAGATGTCTACAGGAAAGAAAACAAAGAATGCACAATAGGTCCAGGGATTAAAGAAATCAAAAGAGCATACCCTTCAACATTTCTCCAATGAAAACAGGAACGTCCTATTCCATTAATATTATTAATACCCCACCCATCTGACTGGGTTGCCCCCACCACTCTGGGCAGCTTCCAACATATATAAAATCATAATAAAAGATTAAAATCATAATTAAAGATTAAACTATTCAGGGCTGCCTTCAGATGACTTCTATGGCTCGGGGGCTGCATAACTCCATAACCTCCAACGTTTCTCTAATGAAAATAGGGACGTCCTAAGGAAAAGCGGGACATTCCAGGATCAAATCAGAAACCAGGACGGCTTCTGTAAATCTGGGACTGTCCCTGGAAAATAGGGACACTTGGAAGGTATGAAAGAGCTGTTTTAGCTTCTCTTAAACGCTCCTGCTTACGAAATGGGATTCTCCGCCTTCGTTGTTTTTAACCACAAATCTACATGCCATATCTCGAATCGCTTTTGAGATACTTCTCACTTTCAAATATGGTTTGTCACACAGCATGTGCACGTCAAGGGGAAAGGGGAACTGTTGTTCAAGAACTTAAATGCAAAGTTGAGTGGAATGAAGCTTACAGAGATCATGGTCAAAATATGCACAGAGTCTAATTTCTTTGGATTCCCATTTCGATGGCTGGGGGAGCAGGAACTAAAAAGATGAATGGCCTGTTAGCAACCACCTATTATTGATGACTGGTTTCCATATTTGTTTGTATGTTCCAAAACGATAAAAAGTTTTCTTTAAAAAAAAGATTAAGGAAGTGCTGACACCTGTTCCTCAAAAGCCTTGATAAATGTACTGACAACTATAAGATACTATGGTGTGCAAATTTGAAAAGAAGTGCTTTTTTCTGGGGGTACTCAAGACTACACAATACTGGCACTCCCCCCTCAAAAAAAAGAAATGTTATAAATGTGACACTTACTGTAACAACTTCATGGTGTATACCAACACCTTTTTTCTATAAAAGGCACATAATAATAATAATAATAATAATAATAATAATAATAATAATAATAATAGTGTTTCAAAGCTAAATCTGAGAGAGAACAAACCACGCACTGCATATGTTCCAAAGCTAAATCTAACACCGAAAAGAGATCCTAGTGGCTCTCCCCGGCCTGCTCCCCGGGGTCCGCTGGGAATTCCCATCCAATCATAAATTATGGGATGGGAAACTCCACAAAACGCTGCTTCCTTCGTTCCTCCCAAGCATCCCCTTCCTCGCTCTACTCACTTCGCACAGGGAAGGGCGACACTGGATTCCCGATCTCTCTGCCCCTCCCCAGTTTGCAGATCCACCGCACCTCTCCGTTATTATTTTTTAGGATTCTTCTTATTATTATTACTATTTTTTAATCCGAGCTAAAAAAGACCAAACCCCCCCGCCCCGCTGAGCGAGCCAACTGACAAACGTACCAGCCAATGAAAGCGCGCCTCCTTCTAAACGATCGATTCCTTCGACCAATGGCGAGCCGCTGCGAAGGCGGCGGCGCTCCAGGGGAGACGGGTAACGCCGCTGCTGCTGTTGCCATAGGAACGGGAGAAGCCGCTCGGGGCTCCCAGCCCCGCTCGCCGTAGTGGAAAGAAACGACTCTCGCGCTAAATTCTCAGTAGGCGCGGCTTGGCGCGGTGACGTCACCGAGCGGCCTTGCAGGAGCTTTTTTCTGATTGGCTAATGGTGGCCCTCCTTCTGCAAGTACCCGGAAGCGGGCAGAAGGGGAAAGATTACCGTATTCACCCAAAAGGTGGAGTGGGAATAGTAGGCTAGCGCCACGTCGCTTGCGATTTTGTTTGGAAAACGACCCAATCCAGAGTCGGAGGGTGTAATTCCATTACGTATTATTATTGAGCGTGTAGAGACTGCTGCTTCACTTCCAGTCCTCTCCAAAAGCTCTTAAGATAATATTTTTTTTATTGTAATTAATGACCGCAATAAAAAAATATAGGGCTAACCTAACTTATGTAGCAAATCAGATGCACTGATTTGGAAGAGAGGGGGAAATGAATTCATAGAACACAGCAGCGACGACACTCATACATGGTACATATATACTGAAATTTTATTTGCTCCAAATCGTTGAAAAAACCAAGTTAAGGGGCCTGTGATTAGCTCTCAAACATATTGTGGATCTGTAAAGATGATGGTTTGGAATACGTGTAGGAAATCTCGCCTTCTGAATGACCAGCTTCCAAAGATTATGCTTTAACTATGGTATGGTTTCCAATTAGCTATTCTGTCTAAGCAAGATGTGAAACTATGCAGAATCTCATAGATGAGATTCCTGCATTGCAGGGGGTTAGACTACTAGATGATCCCCAGGATCCCTTCCAACTCTACCAAATTCTAGGATTCTACGGCACCTCATACCATCCACTCCCCAACAGATCCCATTATGTTGCTTTGTTGCAGTTGGGGGCATTTTCTCCTTTTGTGTTGTACATTTCAAATGGGACTGTCCTTTTTATTTTATTTTGAAGGCGCCCGGGGAGCCTTTTGGGCACAAGAGGGGCTCCAAGTAAATGAATTGAACGTATAATAGAAGCGCAGGACAGCTCCAAAGCAACAGAGCCATAAGATTTCTCTTCGGGGCCAGTCCACCCATGAGGCAAGGTGACATAACTGCCTCAGGCAGCAGGTACCACAGGGGCAGATCTGCCCACCGCTGAATGCATTGCCTGCTGCTGCAATGTGCTCCTTGGAGGCCAGTGCCACCTCTACAGCGGCCTCTTGGCAAATAGGTGGTGCTGCTGATCTCCTCTCATCCTTGTTCCTGATGTAGATCTTCGCTCACCTCTTATTCCTTGGTGCACTATTTTGTGATTTATCTCAAGTGCCAATTGTATTGGGCTGGCTCTGTTTCTCTTGCTCCATTTCAATAGACCTACAGAACTGAATTGGCAAGACTGAACAGAACCAAATCTTACCACAGAAAGAGCAAAAACATACAATATGGGTAAAGCTGCAATATCTAATATTTATCCAGTTATATTGCGAATCTCTAGACCACTGCTCAACTCTGATCAAGCATCTCTTTCTGACCCTTTACACTGTAGTTTTTATTTATTTCTCTTTTAAAATTTTATATTCCCTGTTTCCCTTTTAACATTCTGTACAGCCCAATTACTGTACTAACCTTGTCTCCTCTTAGTGGGAAAAATCTGTGCATACTGCTATGGCTTCACTCTCAAGTGCTGACATACTTTTGTATGCCAACAAAATTATTTGGTTGCCAGTTACAAATAAGGCAAAGGATTGACTGGAATTCAGGGCAAGATAGAAGGAAAGAACAGCATCACCTTGTCCCATGCAGTTCTTTAAAATCTGAGTATTTGTAGGGCAGATGTAGGAAGGAAGCTGTTTCTTCCCACTTACCTCAATCTAATAGACACAGGACAAGAAAATAGAAAATATGTATTTTTCTCCTCTTCATTTTTCTTTCTTTTGCAAATATAGGAGGATGAATGAGGTGTGTAATATAGGAGTGTACATTTCAGCATACCTTGTGAAATAAATACCATTCCAGTAAACGTCTTTTTCTGTTACCAGTAAAGGTAAATCTGCCTTCTAGTGTCACTAAGAAACGTGGCTTCCTCTGAGTTTTATGACAGTAAACAGGTTAGAACTAAAAAGGTTATTGCAGGGGAAGAGCATAACTTGCCCCATCACCCACAAAACTGTCAACACTGGGGCAGATTAACCCACCTCAAGCCTACAATGGCTGCCATTCATTCCTATGAGAAATACTCTACTCTAGGGATCCTTGAACTGTACTGGTCTTCAATTCATGACAACCCCTGCCCACCACAGTGATAGGATTTTGACCGTCTAATAATATAACACAACTTCAATCCAAAAGATACATATTGCAGCATTATACATTGCTACGATTTGTAGCATCGTTTTGTAGACTCACAGCTCTTACTTGCTGGTTGTGCAGTTCTTAAACACATGGCAAGAACTTCACTCTAAACTAGACTAGCTAGATAAAAGTTAGAGCACCAAAGAGCTTTCATGTATTATATCAGTAACATTAACCCTGCATAACAAACAACATGTGATTAAAAATTAACCGAAAACGTTAAATTCAGTGGCATTTTATTGCTTTTTGTCAACTTTTTGAAACATTACAAAAAATAGTTTTCGCAACATTCATTAAACAAATTATAAAGGCTGGATTTTTCACAGTACATGTTGGAGAATTTTTTGTAGGCATTATATAAATTAATAAAATATTGTTTCTACATTTGGAACAGTGTTAACTTGCTTTGGATTTTATTATAAAAGGAAATGTTATATGCAATTAGAAAACTGTCATAAAAACTGGAATAAAGTGTGGAATCACACTGCAAATCAAAGTAAATGTTTTTGTTCAGCTCTGAACACTGGAAGACACACTTACAAAACAAAGCATCAATAACAAATGGGAAATGTTACAAAGGAATTCGTCTCCTGACTAATAAATTGCGTTATAAAAACCTGGCATTAAATAAGTTACTCCAAGACTGCCAAATAGTGACAATATGTACTAAATATGAAAAACTTTATTTTCACACCAATTGCAACCATTTTCCTATAATTGACAAATTTACTAAAAGGTTTTAAAATAAAAAAAACTGCAAGTAGTAAAATCACAAGACAATATTTTGTATTCAGAATACGAGTATATATTGACACACAACTATGTGCCTGTACATTCACTAAAATAAATGGTTCTTCACAACATTTGTACTGTATTAGGTAATGGATGGCACCTATAATCAATCATTCTAAAAAACATTAAATTACTGACCAAACTTAAGAAAAGCAAAAGCAAAATACATTCAAAATGTTGTGCTAATGATCTACAAACTCTGAACTGGTAACTTCAAACACAATGTATAAAACATATGTATAATACATAACCCCTTTAAACAATGCATACCAGTGCATTTTGGTTTTGCATTTCATCTATCCGTGACATTTTTACATTTGGAACTTACTTTTACAATGGGCACATTTTACAAGACTACTGTACATTGAGATAAATGTGTTGGGGGGGGGGAGGAGAAACGTTCTGTTGGATGCTAAATGACTGACATGCTTTGTACACTATCTTGCACATTTTTGTTGATTATCTTGATAATCTGGAATAACCTGCCTTAAACACAGTTTGCAGCATGGAACATTGCAAACTAAGGATAATGAGTTGTTTGTGCATATCTAGAACAGAGTTTTACAAGTTCATACACAAACCAAAAACACCGGGTTGTTTAGATTCTATTGTGACACTAAGATTCTTTACAGAAGATGCCAGTACCAAGGTATCTAAAAAAAGTGCTCAGCTATTTAGTCTACTGGTTTAATGGAAATATACTGGCTTTAAATTAGGCTCCACCCTAAGGTGAATCAGTGCACAGTAAAGTTTACTCATTTACACCTTTTAAGGCAACATTTATTATCTACGTACAGTAAAAGCTCTGTCCTTCACTGTCTTACTTTAATACTATACTTTTTTTAATTATGAAGAAGGAAATAATGTTTATACAGTATAATGAGCAGTAAATCACCTAGATTTTACCACTGGAATTCTCAGCATGTCATCAGGACTTAATATGCTATCAAATGTGTAAGGTAACATTAACAAACAACATCGAAACAATCAATGCAAACTACATTGCAAGTCATGGTTATGCCTGGCACTGTATAATATTTTTACATAATTAAAATAAAATAAATATTGTGATTCTAAGTAGTTTTCAGATCTTTGCTTAAGTTACCAAAATTATTAACCCTTTGGCACTGAAAAGTTGATATGAACTGTTCAGCATTATGGAATTATAGGCTTAGAAAACAAAGGGTTAAAATTCAAGACAATCTGTTTGGATCTTTGCAAATTACTACCCACAGCTCTGAATACAGAATTTTTCAGTAATGGAAGACGAGTGTGAATAACTCTGAAAGCTACAGGCATGATTGGTTGTGGTTTTTTACTGTACCAAATAGAACACATTGTTTTCAAACGTGATTGTTGAAGACGTTGAACACACCTTTTGTGAAAGAGATGGGGTAAGTGACAGGTGGTCATGATTTTCAAATAAAGAAAAAGTGCATATTTCCTGAAGAAGGCTAAGGCACAAGCTACGTGAACATCGAGGAATGAACATTATAGTTATACTCTTACCAATATCAAAGATAAGCAGTACTGAAAAGCTAATTTGATGGTGCTGAGGCATCAGCTCTTCTGTTTAATGATGACCCATATCCCTACATGTTGATTTAATAAGGTTAACTTTTTCTTCAAACTGTGAATACATTTAGCAGCATTTTTAAAAAACAACAATAAAAGGAAATGTCACTGTTCAAGTAAATCTTAAGTGTCAATTCCATAGGTTTCTGTTACCATTACTTGCTCTCAATTGTTTCAGGTCACTGAGCACAGTTGCTTTTAGTGAGCCCCACAATCTGCTTTTATGCTGTAGGACTTGTTCACTCCTCTGGTTCTGCCCTGAAAACGGCTTTTGAAACACCCCACTATTTCAAAAGCAGTTGACAGCACGGTACATGAACTTCCTCTTCAGAAAAGTAAAATGTTCCACCGGGTGCACCAAGTTACTTTTCAAGATCCAACGTGCACTTCTTGCCATATTCCCAGTGAAAAGTTCTGTGGGAGACGCGCACCAATTCTTTTGACAGCACAAAGAGAGGCGCAAATATTCATTATTGACGGAAAATAAGCGCAACCTTAAGTTATGCGGCTTCTGTTACAATTGTGAGCAATGTCAACAACTAGACTTCTTTGCAAGGTTTGCGGAACTTAGGTTTTCATACGAACAGCATTCTTCAGTAACAAGTGGCGAGGCAGTTTGCTAACAGGAATTGCATGCTGCCAGGCAATCAAGGAGGGAAAAGAAAACACATTCTTAATGGGGAACTGCTGGGAGGTAGCAGTGATGATGGGCTCCACTGAGAATCTCTGCTAGCATGAGAGGTCCATATGGACTTGAAGCTCCTAACTAGCCAGTAACTACACGGTTTACGTTTACATCAACTACCACTTACAATAGGGGTCTTTAAAGACCTATTTGATTGCTCCACGGTGGTGATTCCTACCAATGAATGGCTTCACCAGTTGCTGCCATTTCACCTTTAGAAGCAGAATTGGTTACTGTGAGTTTCACCATTGGGCAAGATGACGGAAGTCCATGCTGGCAAACAGATACTATCCAGCTGCATTTCAAGCCTTAAGTCCTGTGCATTTCATCAGGACAGATATACACAAATGCTTAATTCTGCCACAGAAAGAAATGAGCATTAATATTCTGGTGCAGGGATGGGGAGCCTGTGGACCTCCAGATGATTTGAACTACAACTTCCATCATCCCTGACTACTGGCCATATTTGCTGTGGATGATGAGAATTGGAGTCCAACCATGACCGGTGGGGTCAGAGTCCCCCCCCCATCCCTGTTCCAGTGTGGCTAGCAATTTATACAACTGACTTCAGTAAGAGGAGATAATAAAGCAATGTGCTTTTAAAATTGAAGACCTTACATGTTTAATTTGCCTTTTAATTTTAACTTCACATAAAAGTTGCTCCATTCCTTCAAATGCATAGAGATTAATGTATTACGCAATCCTCACACCTTGATGCTAAACACAGTGGCTCCAGTTTAGGGGCCTTCTTTATATGTGTGGGATTTTCAGATAGGTACCATGAAGATCCAGCATACACAGGATCTTTCCTTGATATAGGATTTAATTTCATATGCACATCCTCCACATAAGAGAAGGCCTTATCCATTGCAGAAGCTCTGCATGCACAGCTTTGGACCCAGATTCACTGCCTTAAAAATTAAGCACCATTGACGTCAGTGCAACTTACTTCTATGCATGGCCTAATATCTTATAAATAAGCTGTAGTTTCAAACATACTGTGTGGATCTTGAAACACTCAAGCAGAACTCTGTTCATGCAACAGGGCTCTCCTGGCTCCTTCCCCCTGCTGTAGGCCCTGTGTAGGTTCCCCAAAGCATCTCCTAAGGGCCAGTAGGACCCTCTAGAATGCAAAATGGGGTATGGGGGCAGCAGCTGGATGAGGAAATGGAAGAAATTCAGCAGGGTTGCCTTTCACAAGTGGAAGTGTTTTTTTCCACTCACACAAGAAATCTCTGGATCCAAGCCTTCCAAGTAATAGCATTTAGATACTGAGTTCTATTGATTAAGTCAGCATTGGCTCCATGATTGCTAGCCTTTTGCTCTGTCTCCCATCCTCTGTGAGGCACACTCCCTCCACCTGCTCTGGGTCTTTGAGCGGCTGTTTGAAAGCCCTTTGTTTAAAAGCAAGATTCCTGTGCAAACCCTCTCCTGGATCAGCAAAATGTTTGCATTGGGATCCCCTGCTCTCACCACTCTGAATTCAGAGATCAATTAATATTATGCACACGCAGGAAAAGGAAACAAACTCACTGGCTAATCAAAGTCTGTTAAGCTTACATTTTAAATCAGGAACCTTAATTTGGAACCTACGTGTGTATTCAAATCCACAGGCCCTGTATAATTTCAATGCCTCATTAACTTCAATGGAGGCAAAAGAATCTGTACATAAAATATGTAGTATGAAGAGGTACTGTGGTATCCATGACTTACAGGAACAAGGGAAAGGCAACAACACTGTGTTTAGTGTTATATTAATTTAGGACTAATAAATCATTCTCACAGATATCCATTTAGATCCCCATAAAACAGCAACATGAAGTAAGAATGGCCTGAAAATAAAGTCATTTATGAAAGGGCACATTGGGATTTTTTTTCCTAGGGAGAGTGACATTTATAACATTTTGCAAACACCCAAACAGTAATTGCCTGAAAACGTGACGTGTACTGCAATAAATTATAAAAACTACTACATACTAGAAAGTTATAAACAATGCAACCAATACTTCACAATTAAAGATGATCTGACATGCAATGCATGTACTGATAACTAAAAAGAATTTTTAATTTTCCTATTTAAAAAAATGAAAAACATTCCACTAAAAATAAATATTTCCAGAGCGGACATCACTTCTATCTTGTCTGAAAGTCTTGTTGCTGTGCATACAGTATCCATATCGCTCGAATTTCAGTACTTGAAAGAAGATGTGAAGTCACCCTTTACAGTATATCCTATAAAATAATATATACCCTTGTTCACTTCTATAATGAGGTTTCAGCATCTACATACTTTGTTTCAGGAGTATTTTCCATGTCTATTTTCACACACTCTTCTTTTTCAGAGCTGTTAAGAACAATTCACAAGGTTAGACAAGCCAAAGAATATATAACACACTCAAATTTTATCAAATAGCATCTGTATTTCATGTATCACATATTATTTTTTATTATGAACATGCACATACACACACTCAAGTTAACACATTTCAAATACATGAAGCACATCAGAAAAGTTTAACATGGATTCAAGATTATTCTCTTAGGGTTTATGGCTTGAATGCTGTTTTTCGCTAAACATTTAAGCCATTTTCAGCTCTTCTTCCTATAGATGCATGTGAATTCAATATAATTGCAATAAACCACCACTAATTATTCAACTTTAAGGCTGCAATTCTAAATCCACTTAATACGATGGTGCTTATTTTTGGGTAGACATGTAGGACTGCCATGTAAGGTCAGTGACAGACTAGGCAACATGCATTTAGTCTGGATTCAGATGCAGCCTGAACCCACCTAATGATTCTAAGTTCCTATTATATGTGAATTCACGGGACATTGACAAATCACAGGGCCATTGTGCCAGTGCAAGAGGCTGCTTCATCATGGAAACATGAAGCTGAATTCTGAGCAGACAAGCATCTCAGACCTATAGTCAGCCTGGCATATGTCAAGAAGCTCAGACTATGAAGTGGGTTCTTAACTATGGTTAGCACAAACCATGGTTTCATGTTACATCTGAAACCAGCTGTAATGTGGGAAAGGTTTTGTTGTTTTGTTTTGTTTAAATATTTTATTTTTATGCTGTAAACTGCCCAGAGAACTTTGGATGAAGGTAGTATAAAAATTAAATAAATAATGAGTTCTTGCAACCAGCCTCAACATTCATGATCTCAAGTGTGCAGCTACAGGACTTGAGAATATTTGAAATTCCTAGTAGCAAGCAAGCTTTTGTGAAATTTGTGTTTGTGTATGTGCATCTGTAGCCGAATGGGGGGAAGGGTGTCATGCTTTGTGTCTTTTCTACCCTTTATTCCAAATTAAAGTTCCACAATGAGTAGAAACGATATGAAACAGCTATGCATGCCATTCTTTGGTCCATTATGCTACAGATTAAATATTTTTAAAAGAGCCACCCCATATCTAAATCACTATAATACACAGAAAATGTGCTTTGGGTGATATCCAACACTTCCCTTCCAGTAGGACTTCCTGGATCAACTTTTGATTGGGGGCTGTGAGTGGAGGGAGAATAAATGTCAAAAACTGCCTCTCTCACTCATTTTGCTGATAGATGCCTTCTACCACTAGAGGGGAAATACTGGATATCATCTTCTGTCCATTATCCAAAAAAACAACCCCAGTTTAATCAAGAGCCTTATGCTAATCCATTATATATATTTTTCTTTGACAATGACCCTCATAACATGTAAGCAAACTGGGCTTTTAAAAAGATACCCTCACTTCTAAAGCACATTTGTTTTGCAGAATGGTAGGCTGTTATTTAAGGAAATTCTATGGGCATCTCCAACTCATGACACTAGTTTCACTGTTCTTGGGATCCCAGACTTCCAAGTTTAGAAAACCAGTCTTTTTCTTTCCTAGGTCTCATAAACTTTTCCATTGTTTCACAGGTCAGATGTGTGATATAAACTCTTATTTGGGCATTCAGGGATATAGATATAAATACCAATCAAAATTACTTCCACAGCTCAACAAAATCAAAGCATAATCAGAAAGGTGAGTAGTTTTAAGCTACCTCAAGTTAGATCTTGTTACTTTGGCATTCTCTGTGTTCATGGAAAGAGCCTTCCACTGTGCAGTTTTGGCCATTTCATCTGATATGTTTACAACAGAAGGATCAACGCTAGACAACAAACACAACTTGATTAGTACTCAGTGCCTTGCAAAAGCATTAATTATGTCTCATGCTCTTTACATCATTTGAGCCTTATGTTATGTATTTACCCAGCAACTAGTGACGTGTTGTGTTAAATACTACATTCTGTATCCATACATGTGGTGTAAGAATTCCTGGGCTAAAAAAGGTATTCCATTACAGGAAAATCTGGATTGGCTTACTGAGTGATTTTAATCATCATATGGCAATAGAAATATTTGTATGAAAGAATCCAATTCTAACTGAGTCCATTTTGAGAGCAGATCTGAACTACTTCTGTACTAGCAACATTTTTCTTTGGAACACATGAGAATAACCAAAATACTTCTTTGTAAGAATTTCAGGTACTTATTTTCTCTATCACGTATTTTCTTGCTCACCCAAAATTCTTACAAAGAAGTATTTTGTTTATTTCATGTGTTTCCAAAGAAAAATGTATATTGGCCAAATCCATACAAACTAGGGGCCACCATAAGAAAATAAGTAGAAGTATCTTTTTATAAAGCAAACTTGAGAATATGGCTAGGGATGCTTGCTTGATATTGAAAAACTTGTTGGGATGCTATTCTTAAGTCACTTAATCCCAACTAGCTCTATATGGAAGAAGGTATGTTCCTGGGTAAAGTGGTTGATGACTGTAGCCTTAGGAGCGTCTGGTATTCCAACTGGAGCCAAATATTTTGTCAAGACAAATTATTTTAAAAGTATACATGTTCCTTTCAGACAAATTACAGAGGAAGGATGGAAAATGTTCTGGAAATGAGCTGGCTGGAAAAGGCAAAGACGTTTCATTTTTTCCTGGGCTTCTGGCCCTTTAATTTGAATGGTATATATTAGCTTCTTTAGGGATGAGACTTAAAGTCCTGCCTTCTTTGTGTTTTGAGTCTTATTCAAATTGTTGTGTTTTTAGGTTTTTATTGTTGTTTCTAATTGGTTTTAATATGAGTCAGTTTGAGTTACCTTGTAAGAAAAGTGAGTAGCAAACAACATTAATAAACAACATCTCTTTGTTTTAACTTGAAAAAAAGGATACTCAATTGGGATTGATTTTAGTAGTAGATAAATTAAAGGGTTAAGTGCTATGTCCTTCAAGTCCGTTTACAGTGGAACCTCGTGTTACATACAGTGGTACCTCGCAAGACGAATGCCTCACAAGACAAAAAACTCGCTAGACGAAAGGGTTTTTTGTTTTTTGAGCTGCTTCGCAAGACGATTTTCCCTATGGGCTTGCTTCGCAAGACGGAAACATCTTGCAAGTTTTGTTTCCTTTTTCTT